TTAATTGTGGAGCCCTGCCCTCCAGGCTGTGCACAGAGGCTGCTCCAGGTTAAAGTGATTTAATTGTGGAGCCCTGCCCTCCAGGCTGTGCACAGAGGCTGCTCCAGGTTAAATTTATTTAATTGTGGAGCCCTGCCCTCCAGGCTGTGCCTCCACCGGGTCAGGGAGGGAATTACAGAAGGGCAATGCAAAAAGAAGGATTTGTTTCCCAGCAGCGATTACTGAGGTAGGTTTGCTGGATGAGTTCCACAGAAAGTGCTCCAGAAGATCTCCAGCACCATCCTTGACTTCTGCCTCCCGCGTTTCCCGAGGGATCCTTTCCACACAAAAAGCCCAGACTGGGAATTCCCTGCCAGGAATCTGCGGAAGGGGATTAAAACCAGCACAGCAGAGGCGGATCTGCAATCCCTGAGCTGGGGATCCCGACTCCTCCTAAGGAACGCCCTGGCCCTTCCAGCTGCCTCGCCCTCCTTCTCCCCATCTGGGCACAGCTCCTGCCTCAGTTTCCCCCGCATCCCAGCGCGGAGATCCTCCCGGAGCAGCCCTGACCTCCCAGGGAAGGAGGAGCTGCTCCGGTGCTGTGGCCTCAGCCTCCTTCCCCCGCCGCTGGGGATTGTGCACAGGCTCAGCCCCGGCTGTAGAACGGGCTCCGCCTTCCCGCTCGGGTGACAAACTCAGCTTTGCTCTGACGAGCTTGTATTTAAATCGATCAGGAACAGGCAATCTCAGCTTTTGTACCTGGCTCTAAAAAATAAACGGCTGAATATGATCTAGGTAACTGCTTTTAAAACCCATCTCTCTTCCTACGGAAATTGTAAACGAGTAGAAAATTTAAATAGTCTTTTGTAAAAAAGCAAGGACGATACAAGTTATACAAAAATCGCTTTTCCCTGCCTGTCTCTTGCCCCCAGCCTGGGCAGAGGCGGCGATCCTCAGGGAGTTTCCCCGGCGCTCATTCCTGCGGCGCTTCCAGCGTCACCAACGCCGCCAGCTCGCACGGGAGGGGCACGGAGGATCCCTCCTCCCAGCAGGAGTTCCTCGAGGCTCCTCAGAACAACTCCCGGCTCCGCCCCGACACCGCAGCTCGGATCCCGGCAATTCGGATTCCAGCAATTCGGATTCCGGCAATTCGGATCCCAGGAATTCGGATCCCGGCAATTCGGATTCCAGGAATTCGGATTCTAGGAGTTCGGATTCCGGCAATTCGAATCCCGGCAATTCGGATTCCAGGAATTCGGATCCCAGCAATTCGGATTCCAGGAATTCGGATTCTAGGAGTTCGGATTCCGGCAATTCGGATTCCGGCAATTCGGATTCCGACAATTCGGATTCCAGCAATTCGGATTCCGGCAATTCAGATTCCGGAAGTTCGGATTCCGGCAATTCGGATTCCTGCAATTCGGATTCTGGCAATTCGGATTTCAGGAATTCGGATTCCGGCAATTCGGATTTCAGGAATTCGGATTCTGGCAATTCGGATTCCAGGAATTCGGATTCCGGCAATTCAGATTCCAGCAGTTCGGATTTCAGGAATTCGGATTCCAGCAATTCGGATTCCGGCAATTCGGATTCCGGCAATTCGGATTTCAGGAATTCGGATTCCGGCAATTCGGATTCCGGCAATTTGGATTCCAGGAATTCGGATTCCAGGAATTCGGATTCTGACAATTCGGATTCCGGCAATTCCGATTTCAGGAATTCGGATTCCGGCAATTTGGATTCCGGCAATTCGGATTCCGGCAATTCGGATTCCAGGAATTCGGATTCCGGCAGTTCGGATTCCGGCAATTCGGATTTCAGGAATTCGGATTCCCGACACCGGCAATTCAGATTCCTGCAATTCAGATTCCGGCAATTCGGCTTCCTGCAATTCGGATTCCAGCAATTCGGATTCCGACAATTCGGATTCCAGGAATTCGGATTCCGGCAATTCAGATTCCGGCAATTCGGCTTCCTGCAATTCGGATTCCGGCAATTCGGATTCCGGCAATTCGGATTCCGGCAATTCGGATTTCGGGGCTGGCTCCTCCTGACACACGGAACCCGGGGAAGGAGGGACACCGGGAAGGGGAAGGGAAGGAAGGGGGAGATTGTTTTCCACAGAGAATAAGAAACCCAGCAGTCGTGTCCGATGAGGAACAGTTTCCAAATAAATAATTACCTCCGGAGAGGTTCATCTTTCCACTGGGCGGTTGCACGGAGCTCCGGGCCGAGCGCCCCAGGCCCGGCAGCGGCCGAGGCTGGCTCCCAGCTGGGGCCGCTGCCTCAGGCGCTGGCGCCATCCTCCTCGATGACCCGGTTGATGTGCGTGCCCGCCGTGCTGGCGCTGAGGTCGCGGGCGCTGCCGTGCCGGGACTGCTCGCTCAGCCGGTGGCAGCTGCTGTGCCGCGAGTGGTCGGTCAGCCGCGCCGCGCTGCCGTGGGGCAGCCGCTCCTCCGCGCCGCGGTAGCTGCAGGGGGTGTACCTGAGCGGGCGACACGGAGGGATGGCTGTTATGTGGATATAATATATATACAATATATAATATTATATCATTCGCGCCAGTCCTCGTATGAAACATGGAATATTGGATATTTGTTAAATCATGCCCGTCGTATTAGTTCCCCCCCCCCGTTACAGGTGAGACGGGGTGTATATTAGAAACTGATTTACAAGGTGTGGAGTTGCGTTATGTATATATTTTATTATCCCTGTATTATGTATTGGTTTATTCCTTTGTACCCCCATATACAACTTGGTTTATCCCCAGTTTTCCCGCCTTGTCCGCCCTTCCCGCCTTCCCAGTATCTATCCATCACCCTGAAAGAGGCATTTTACCCCCCCCAGGTGCCTTGTCTATCACTCGGTGCCCCTTCCCATCCATCCAGAAGCTTCTACTCAGGGCACCGGGTGATTGGGCGAGGACCTGGGGCTCCCCCCATATCCTTCCCCCATTGGACCCCACCATATCCCCCCATCCCGGAGCCACCCCCTATCCCTATCCCCATTGGTCGTTGGATACCCCTCCCTTACAGTTTATAAGCCAGTGCAAGCACCTTGTGCTTGTTCCTGTTGGCTGGCACCGTTCTAGGACATTTGGCCCCGTTGGGCTACAATAAACTCGGACTTAGCCCCCAGCAGGATCCGCTCTTCATTCACCACCGCGAGGCTTGCCAGCGCTGCCCGGAACCCACAAAGGCACTCTCCAAACCCCAGCTGGGAGCGGCGGAGGGTGCCTCCATCGCCCGCCCTCGCCCCAGGATGAGAGCTAGCCGGGGCTGAGACAAAGGGAACCGGGGCGGGAGCGCGGCAGCAAGTAAAAGGATGTGGCTTGGCCGGGAGATGGGCCATGGCTGGGCTCCAGGTGTTGATCATCACCATCATCAGTGCTGATCGTCCAAGATGGATATCATGGAAATCCTCAGACAGATCCATGTGAGTGCAGCCTTCCCGTAAACTCTCATCAAGAATTCAACTACTCCGGACATTAAAAAAATCTTATTAACCTATAGACTCTGAATAGAAGAAAAGACTAAGTGCTGAAATCTTGGCCTCGGGCGGAATTTTCCCTATAAAAACCACTTGTGCCAGGGTGGAGGTGTGTGGGCATAGGGGAAAACCTCTGCTGAGGCTGACTCCTTGTTGCACACCCAGGGCCGACCCCGGGCTCGGCTCTGTCCTTTCTGTGTGGCTGGCTAGATAGAATTTGACCGCAAATAAAATGATTTTTATTTTTAATCTGGCTGAATAAATTCTCGTTTATAACAATGGGCATTGTGAAGAACTGCACTGACTTGTTTGTTCATCAGAAGTATGAAATTAGGATAAAAGGGTGGGGAGGGGTCGGGGCATGGAATTTGCAGGCTTGGGCAAGGCTGGTAACCACAAACAAAGATTGTGAAAGACCTTGCAGGACTGGCTGGAACTGATAACCACAGCGGAAGGAGATCCATCACC